TATGTAAAGAAGAACATAGAAATAAATATATAACACATGTGACAATGTACATATCAAATTATAAAAACAATACATAACAAATAATAAAGCTTAATATTTTCAAATATAAATCTCATGGTAAGAGTCAGCCGCAGCACGCCGAACTGCTCCCAAGGAACCAGTGAAAAGTCTACATTATTATAGTAAAGTTTTCTGAATCATGGTAACTTATGCTCAACTAAATTTTACTATTCCCAGCATTGAAATAAATTAGTAAGATCCATTATGGGTAAACTTTAAGCAACACAATTCTTGATTAAAATGTAGTATACATTAAGAGTCATAATACACAGCAATTATTATGTAGTAGACTTTGACTATTTTCAAGTAGGCCTAGCAAACATATGTTTCTGTAAATAAAAATTATCTCCCATGTTATCCTTATGGAGAAATACGAAACTTTAAAGGCTCAATCTCTAATTATTCACCTAAAAAGAAAGTTTCCTGCACAACTTCACGTTACGCTCTTTCCAATGACACAAAAATCATGTCAATCGGTTCAGTAGTTTCGGAGGAGTAATTGTCACAAAAATCCTGCTTGCGTATTAAATAAGTATAGAAGATGCGCCTTAATTTACACAAATCTATTTAGTATATTGTGTGTTTTAAAAGATTTTTACGTTTGAGGTGTCATTTTAAAGCTTATGCTCCAGCGAATCGATAACTGGGAATGAAGAAGGTCAATTCCCTTAGGACTTCACTAAAGGTATCATTTACCACATTTTGGCCGATCCAAAACAAACTCCCATTCTCCAAACCCCTGTATGATTGTGTATACAGCATATCCAATATCACCGTGTCTGAGAGGCTATTCGTCATTCCCAGACAACAGTTGCACAACTCAATCTGTTAACATCACAATCACCAGACAACAAACAACAGACAAAATGGAGTTGCACTGATCGTAGATCTGCCAATTAGAGCTGAGAGTAAACCATAAATCAAGCAGGCACTGCTCAGTCTCCCGCCAATTATAAAGACATTCCGCGCCTTTATTTGCGCCTGACCCACACTGGGGGTCCGCGTTTTTGGGATTTCTCTGCAAAAGTAAGTGGAATTGCGGGGAAAGTGACCTTGCGATTGTGGGAAATGTGGCTGGTCACGGTTACGTCGAGACTACGAAGTGGGAGATTCGTTGTTACGTTTGTGATAGTACTAGGTACAGTAATAGTTGAATGATCAGCCTTGTTGGGATAGCTTAGTTTGGTAGTTCCAAGTATGTGGCGTCCAGAGGCAATTGATAATGATAATCATAATGGGTTTTGACGGTTGGAAGCAATGTATCCAAAATATTTTTAGGAATTTTTGATAAGTATGTAAGAATTGACGTTGGATTGTAACAAGTATAGGTTTTGAGACATTCCCCTATTTAAAACATTAAACATTCTACTGACACTGACATTGGTTTACACAAATAAACAAATACAGTAAACATAGAATTGCGTATGGAAACCATTAATGAGTCGATAGAAAATATCTTCAAGTTCAGAAGTTAATTAAGAAATGTATTAAAATAAAAACTGTACATGTTATTTGAAAATGAATTCTATATTTTGGGTATTGTATCATTTACAAATATTATTTAATATAATATATTTTTGGCCAATTGTCTACCCCAGATCTTTAAAGGTTATAAAACTCAAAATGGCCACAAAAAATAAATTACTAAAGATCAGGACTGCATGACCTTATAAATTCAAACTATATTGAAATTTCGACATTGACTGGGTAAATTGTAGCTCCTGCAGTCAGGGGAATGCAAATGATACAACGTTTTGCAATACTACTTGTGGAAACCTAATTGAAGGCGCGAAGAAATACCACGTGTTAACTAATTATTTAGTATTTAAATCCTCAATTTTCAATAAAAAGTTTCAACATTTTAATTATTTTTTTATTTTACATAAATGCTATAAAAACCTTTAAAATTATGTTGATATACGGAATGTCCCATCACATACTATAGAATATTGTAATTCATATACGGTTTACTCTATAAGTCTGTGGTCCCGTATAAATTACAAGAATTAAGGAAAATCTTTAATGGTCCTAATAAAATGAAGACCATAAAAAACATAGTTTACAAAACATGTAACGTTAGCAAGATATCTGTCTTTTGTGTTTTAAATTTATATTTAAAAAATAAATATTTAAAATGTCGTTCTGAAATTTAGTAACGATTTTCAAAGTAATATATAAGCTATTTCCATTAAAATAGTCATTACAAATTATGTATTAATTTCAAAATGGTGGTCATTTTAATTTAAAAAATGTAAATAAAAAAATGGTTGATGTTATGAAGGAATGTAATAGGTACTTTTTAGCATTTTAATTGTTTTATCAGAGGATACCAAGTTAAAAATATCGAATGATAAACAAATGAAAGTCCCGATATGAAGGCGCATGATGATGCGCATCCTAAGCTTGCCTGGTCAGCACAACCAAAAATTTATTATTTGAGTAAATCAAGCTATATCCAGTGTAAATAGAAAAAAGTAGTAGCATGTCAAACAGTCCTCTTAACCAACAGACACAACTTGTGAAACAAGCCTCTTTTCTTCGAAGACATAAAAAAAATAACTGAACTTCTTCCAAATACACGACATCTTTCAGGCCTTTCACTTTATCCACTTAAGGTTTGAGGTATTACTTACCTAACCTATGGTACCTACCTATGGTACTTACCTAACCTATTTTAAACCTTATGTAAGAGTTTAAGTTAAGAGGTCATTTTTCATTCATCCACTTTGTAGGTATTAACGGAGTAAACTAATAATCCTTTACCACATGCCTTGGTTTTATGAAGGTAATAACAATGGAAATTGTGTATACAGTTCTAAAAATTGTTTTGAAAATATATTTGATAATTGTTTTCTCTTAGAAGCTTTTATAACCTTTATTTGGTCGAATCTGAAATACACAAGAGGTCCTTTGTACATTAAAACTTATGTTATTGGGGTTTGTTTTCGATATTAAATTTCACTCTTTTAGTGACAATTATAATTTTTATAATTTATTTATCGATTACATTATTGTATATATACGTACATGACACAGCTGTTGGGTGATAAATCTGAAGATCCAATGCTGCCGATCTTTCAGTTGCATTAAAACAATTTGAAAACTAATGTTTCACTTTTAAAATTAGGCCCAGAGGGATACCTTTCTATATACCTAAAACAATAAGTGTTTTTGTGTTACATCCCTTACTTTTCACTTGTTCTAATAAACCAAATTTTACTATTTAGATGTCGTTCTGCTTATGATCTAGTGATGCAACGAATGTTAAAAAAAGGCAATTTCATTTGGTCGTCATCTCTTCAGACTCTTTTGGTCGTCAGACTTAATTCTAGATTTCGCTTTCCAAGATCCAGTGATCCTGACCAAATTTCAATATTACGGGTTTAAATGTGAATTGCAATTTAACAGATCCTTCAGTTTAACCTTAGTTAAATTATGTTTAACCACAGTTAGATTGTAAACAAGAGAAAATACAGAGTATGAAAATAATTTTGAATCAGGATACTACTTGTATTATTATTGTAACCTAAATTGAGGTAGGTAATAAAGGTAGAAAATGAAGGTAGGTGGGTATGGTCATAGACAAAAAAAATTAAATATAGACCGTCAGCCGTGCTGCGGTTATCTGGCGCACACCGCTGGGAGCGCCGTGTAGTCACGTAGTGCGCACGCCGTAACTACATGCACTCCTAGCGGGGTGCGCCAGAACCTATGGTAACCGCATCATGGCTGACGGTCAATATTTAATGCTTTTTGTCTATGGTATGGTGTAGATATCCAATAAATAAATTTAATTTACTGAAAATTAGTAGTTGTATCGACTAAATAATTGAAACGAGCATAATCCTTAAAAGCTAAAAGTTTAATGTATATTTAGTTTTGTCTAAAGTAAACTACGGATGGAGTGGTTATAACACGACTTTCGTAAATATTCTATAGGTACTTCAAATGATTTACATATAGAAATTTACATTGAAATTTAGACTAAGCTAAAGACATACTTGCACTCCAGTGTCGCAAACCAGACTTTTATAGGTTTATAGGACTCTTGAACTGTAAAAGACGTCATGTTAATCCTTAAATGCAAATTCCTTTTGAAGCCTTTAATCTATTCATATTCTGACTCATTCCTTTGGAAGATTGCCTTGGCCAAATAGTGCGCATAAAAATACAAATTTTATACCACCAGTATCATCATTTTTGAAATATATTTTAATAAATTAAATTTGTAAACTTAGGAAATTATGTTAAACTAAAATTATAGTATTAATAAGATTTTATCTAATGTTATGTAAAAAAAGATGTAATAAGGATAGTGGCAAGGCCGTAGAAGCACACATCAATTTTGAACTAGGCATTTGTGAGTTAGAATATGAAAGAATCTGCTAGAGAGGATCTTTATGTTATGAATAAATATTTGATAAGGAAATGTGTTATCTAATAAATGCAATGATACTAATAATTTCCCATTTTAACTTCTAAATACGTTGTAATACATTAGTTTCTAATTTGTTTCAAACAATTTAGTTTTTCGTGATAACAAGCCTTTATTGCTAAGAAAGTATCACGAATTATTAGTTAACTCTCGTCAATGTGGCTTATTATTTTTATTATTTTCAACTGAATTGGGAACGACACTTAGGTGCGTATTTTAACCTAAAAATATGAGTAAAGAATGAATGTAGAATGGAGTGATATGTGTTGTGTTGTTACAGATTGTTACTGACTACTATTAGCCGTTTCATTAGCCAAGCTTATTTATTTAAAGTCCAATGATCAGGAACAGCAGGGCCCAGTTGCGAACCATCAAAAGACTTTCCTCTGGAACTTTTCCGGATGGAACCGGAAAACTTTTGATTGCTAGGTTTTCGTATCAATAAAACACCCACATGTACAAAAAATGTTTAATAAACAAAATACAAATCGTAACAAAACTGACAACAGGGACATACTACCTTAAAACTATGCAACATGACTTACTCAGTCTAAGGAACGAAGAGTCGAAGGGGGGGGGGAGGATGGCAGCTAGTGAGGTTTCTTGGGATAATGGCGAGGCACTGGGTGGTGTGTCTCGAAGGTGACACTTTGGTAAGACGTCGCAAATTTACCTTCTCCATCTACAGGTGCTGCTCTCGCTTTTTCATCTGCGTAGCTGTATTTGAAACCTCCCTTCTCCGCACTCCCTACTTCCTTGCTGGAGTCTTCATAACTTCCTTGGTCCTCAGAAGGATACGTTTGGTAGCTCGGCGTCGCTGCGGACTTCGGTAGACTTTCATCGCTCTCGTATTTACCGTAGCTCTTGTAGTTGTTATCTTTGGAGTAAGCAGGACTTTCATCGTCGTACTCTCTCGCGCGGTATTCAGTAGGTCTTCTACCTTGAGATCCTCCGTAGTAGTTCTCTCCGTCGTTTTGTTCGTCTTTGTATTGTGACCTTCCAGATGTTTCGGCGTATTGTCCGTTGTTGCGGAAGAGGAGAGGTTGATGTCCGAAAGCTTGGACGGGGAGGAACACAGGCCCTTGGCTGTAAGGGGATTGGTATCTAAGACCTTGGTGGAAGGGTAGACCTCCCTGGAGAGGATGTTGCAAGGGTAGTCCAGCCGGGAGGAGTAGAGGGGATGACAATGGATGGGAGAGAGGGTTCGCTGTAGGTCTAGAGTGTGCAGTTGGAGTAGCGTAGTTAGCAGTAGCTGGAGTCACAGTGTTAGACTGAGTGTGAGAGTAAGGGGAAGATGTAGGAGTGTGCTGTAGACCTTGACCTTGATGCACCTGCTGACCTACGAAGGTAGACAGTCCAGGGAAGTGCCCCAGAGGCGCATGAGCCTGAGGACTGTACAGTAGAGGAGCTCCCCCGAAGTGCCCGTATGTCCTTGGGTAGCTGTAGGCAGGGGCAACAGTAGCTGCGGTATAGTCGTGGCCTGGGGTGTATTGAGGAGTGTCTTTCACTCCTGAATAACCTAGGTTTTGGCGACCTGCAAAAAAATAAACGAAATTAGGGTCAAAACAATGAAAACTTATAAACACTTATGTTCCTGGGGTAATTTTACAATGAACTTCAAATTAGACCCGGTGTGATCGTTTTATTTCTACCGTATTTTGAATTATATTTTAATCCATGATATTCTGTCATAAACATTCTAATAATACTGCCACCACCTTGTATGCATTTTGTCAACAAATAAATTGGATGACACGGTTTTACACTTGCTGCATGTTGAAATTGACATGATAATCCGTTAAAGTGATACTTTTTTCCTATGAGATTAGGCAGGAGCCCGGAATTGTTTTTCACATTTCTTCAGGCTAGACCTAGGGGTTGCGACATTATCGCATAGATAAAATCCATTGGTGATTTGGCGGGATTTGAACCCAGGACCTCTGGAATCGAAGTCCCGCGCTCTAGCCACTATACCAGCTCCCTATACGCTCCCCTACTAGCAGACTGCTGATTACAGGTTTGCTGAATTGTCAAGGATTCAAAAAATCCAAAAAGGTAAACCAAATATGGGGGTTTGATTCTAATTATTTGTCGGTTGTATATACTCCTCGATATTAAATTCAAATAAAATATCAAAAATTGAATTCTACGTCAAATTATTATCATCATCAATAGAGGTGGGGACGCCACCTAAGTGTGTATTTCAACCCAAATAAAGGTGGAGGATGATTGTAGGTTGGAGTGAGATGATACCCGTAGCTTTGTTACTAAAGATCACCCAGGATCATTTATTTAGAGCCCAATGATCAGGGACAGCTGGGTCCAGTTTCAAACTATCAGAAAGCTAATCCCAGGATCGATACGACATTCTTTTGATAACTTAACGAGAACTATAACAACTCAGCTATCCAGCCAGTTTTAATAGTAATGGTTATGTTTTCTAGTTATTTAAAAGCTTCCAGAGGCTTGGAATGTTTCATTGTAGTATTAAAGACTATTCAATCCCCACAATGAACTCCCTTGACTTACCACCGTCGAAGTAGGGTCCCCGGAAGCTACTGTTGGGGACGTATCTAGGCGCTTGCTGCTGGTAATGTTGTCGGATATCCTCATCAAGCTCTTCCAGGCTGTCTTTGCTGACCACCCGAGTAGTGACCTGGGGATGGCCGCCGTAGATGAGGATCTGAGGTCCGGCGCCACCAGCAGCGCCACCAGCGGCCCTGGCACCCCCATGGTCGCCCTCCAACCCAACATAGCTGCCCACGGATTGCCCAGCGTGTGCGAGGTGCAGTAGGCCTGGGTTCCTTGCAGGCCTCTTGCCCTCCTCTTTGGTAGCCACGCAGAGCGCTAGAGTAGCCAGCGCTACCACCTGAACAGAAAAGATTGTGGCGAGGGATGTATAAAAACAGATTCGTAAAACATAGCTCAGGTACCATTCGTTAATGTGAAAACGAAAAACAGAATGTGTTACATACATTTATTAAACTTGGTTTAAAAATTAGTTTATTTTACAAGAACTTTTATTTTACAACGAGGATTTACAGACTTCACATACATGGTTGAGCAAAAAGTTGATGTCTGTAACAAACATGAAGTATAGGTTCCATAAATGTTTTGCCTGAATGGATTCCAAGTATATGTGTGTGGTTGCTAGAGGAGAATATGTTAATGATGAACCTAATGTTCTTAAATTATATAAAAATAAATAATCTGAGTGAAAAATGTAGGCTTTCAAGGCCATTATCCAACGAGGAAATTAACATACCTTGACTCCAAAATAGAAATAAGATATACAATCGTCTTTAAATCAGTCAACGTTAGAGCTACATCGCTTCTTTACACTTAACATGCCCAGGCAGTCTTCAGTGGTGACTTTAAAAAATTCGGTATTTACATAAACGTCATGACTTCCTTTGTTCGTAAGTTTTCGCAGTATTCGTCTATGAAAACAAATTCTTAAAAAAATTTAAAACCTTAACAATTACCAAAACCTCTTTTCAAACCTTGATTAGCAAACCAAATTTATTCAAATTGGTTCAAAAATGTCAGCATAACCTCAAACGTAACCCGTGAAACTCGAAAATGTTGGCCAAATATCCCTTTTACAACCTTAATTCTCGTAAACCCAATTACAACATCTCACTGACTGCACAACTCAGCGAGCAGTGTTCCGTGGAGAAGACCCATAAGGAAGTGAGGTGATCCTTAGCGACACCGACTAAACTACCTTACACGCCGTCGGCTGCTCTGCTGTTCTGTACTGTACTGACGACTCAAATAAACATTACTGATAAGAATCGTGTTACGAAATACACTGATACTGTGACCACGACAACTAGGTTCCTGTTCGTACACTAATGAACAAATGATAACCGGAGATCTCGACCGTAATGGCGAAAATGTGGCGGCGGGCGGAAGCGCGGGAACGTGACGATTATGGCGGGAATTGGATCCACTTTCCCGCGACAAGGCCGCCTTAAGCTCCCAGGCTTTTCTCCGCACTTTTCTTGGAATAATTTTAATTGCTTCCTCTTGCAACGTTATACTGTTACAGTTTAGGAGTTGACACACATATTTTGTCCTAAGGAGAACTAGTTATGATGTAATGCATTGCAGACTGAAAGGATTTTAAACTGACTGATTGGTTTACATAACGGCCTTAGGGAGATAAAAAGGATTTGAATTTAATAAGATCGTTATAGTGATATCTCTCATATAATTGGGGTTGGATAATCTAGACCAGTATAATTATTCTTCTCCTATGCAAATATGATTTAATAAGCAATAAAAAAATACTACTAGTATCGATGATCTGAAAATGCTGTCTGTTTTTTGTTTAGCTTTTATATTTCGAAAAATACTTTTTCTGGCACTTAGAATTTAATACTAACTTATTTATTTTTATTTGTAAAACTTTAACTAATTGTTTTAAATACAAGTGTAAAGTGGACTTATCAGGAAGACTGAAAGGTCTTTTAAATGTAATGCTATCCTTTATAAACAAGTTATTTGACCGATAGGCCTATCCCTTGTTCTCCAAGGTCGTTGCGAAAATCGAATAAAAAAATATCAAATCACATTCGAAATTATATATCGAATTACAAAAATCAACTATATTCATATATTCACACGACAAAATAATTTTGTGGGAGCCTAAGAACCGATTATTAGACATTAACAAAGAAAAAGAAGTAAAATTCCTAATAATGATAACTGTTCTAGATATTTACTATTCCTAGACATTTAACATCTGTTCCATCAGTAGGCCTCCCAAAATTAATAAACAAATATTAAGAAACTGACGTTAGAGTGTTGCTTTAAAAAAATGTTTATTAGTCGAAGCTAAAAGAACTGTGGCATGCTATAACTCATTTAAACAAAATAAAGATTATAGAATTTTCGCCGTTATCTAAGAACTTCTGTACAAACTGTCTCTTCTATCCCCACTAGCCCCACTCTCAAGTGTCTCTCTACAAGTGTCAGTGACAAAGTCAACATTGCGTTGCAGCTTGTCACTCTCATAATTATCGGTTATGACTGGGAAGTATCCGAGGTGTTTGTTAGGGAAAGGTTATTGTTCTAGCCAAATTGGAGTTTTCACTTTCAACTTATTATTCCTTTCCCAGCTTGAGAAGCGTGTAATCTGGATTCATCTTTCAAAACGAGTTGATTAATAAGCTGCTTTTGTTTGCGAATTTTTCATTATGAATTTTTTTGGAGATTGAATAATGCCTTCAATATCCTGCTACTTTAGTGGTAATTGATTGGCTATTCATTTTAAAAGACTATAAAATAAATACAAATAATTTACTTATATAACATTTTATATAACACTCTGTATTTTATTGTCGTTTTTTGAATGAGGATGCGATTTTGAGACTCATTTACTCTTAGCATTTTCTCTTCAATCGTTTAAGATCTAGAGGTTGCAGTGCACACAGCAAGCTACTTTTTTTAGTGAACACGCTGTAGCCCCTAAACAAATAGCTTTCAAGAATAAAAACGTTCAATGCGTTTACACTATAAAATATTCTTAAAACAGAGGTGTTCTTTGAATGTTAGACGCCACATTGAAAAATGGTGGCTGTTACTAAATATAATTTAAATTTTTTTTATGCCAAAAGAAATAGTGGAAGTTCTCCACTGTGTTCTCTAAATCTAATATTTTCTGAGATACCTATGGGACAAAGTTGAGTTGCTCACTGTATATTACAAGCCAAGACACAATTGCAAACGAGGTTACTGTGCGTGTTTGCTTAAATGAATATCGTTTTTACGTTGGCCATCTTTAGGATTAAATGAAAGGTATATTAAAAAGATTCAAGATAGATTCAGGGGAAGACTTAAGGTTACATCTTGGGTGGATTCTAGGTATATTCAAAATTGAACAACGGTCATGCATCGTTAATGTTTAGTTTGATTTTTGGGCAAATCTATACAAACAGCAAATTTATAACTTTTATGTATTTTAATAATTTATGTATATTTATTCTTTACCTTCTGTCTAACGTGTATTGTTTACGATGTATTATATAATCAGTTCTAGTTAGAGTCCAAGTTCAAAATTTACAATGTTGCATTCTAATAAATATGTCTGATTAACCATCTAAATTTTTAATTCAAATTTTTAAGACATAACAATTACCTAGAGGGATAGTGTAAACTAAAGCAACACTTCTTTTAAAGACAAGTCTTAACTCCATATGTTCCTAGAAAATATTGCGGGGTACAGTCCCGCAGAGAACCTACCCTACTACATTTGTTGTTTGAAATACGTATTAGCTCGATATATATATATACAATCTATATTGTATCGTGGGAAAACGACATTAAATCATTTTCACAACCAATTTATTTATTTATTTTGTACTTTATTGTATTATTTTATAATTATTATATATTTATTATTTTCATTTTTTTTTTTTACTTTATTTATTTTGTGTATAATCTATATTGTTTAGTGGGAAAACGACATTCAATCATTTTCACACTGTACAATATAGATTGTATTCAATATAAACATTGTAATCCATAGGGTTTTTAAAACTTTGCTGCGGTAGTTAGTACAGTTCGTCTTAGTTTAGTATAAGCTGTAGGTATATATAGTCAATTGTATAAGATAATAACAAACAAGGTAACATTATATGATTAATTTGTGTAAGTCTTCTCTTATTCTAGAGATTGTAAAGAGGTCAAACTTTGTAAATGTATTTTAAATTCATTGTTATAAACTAAACTGATCCAAACTAACCTAACCCACTCGCCACAGTGCACTCTATATGAGTGGTGGCCCTTTTCTTAAATAACAATAACACCCATAACAATAACACGAAACAAATATTTACATCGAATTAAATTATTATTTTAATCGATATTTATATCGAAAGGCAATTCCATCAGGTAATAGATTGTAGGTTCTTTGCGGAACTGTACCCGATTGTGATATCGAATGTGATAATCATGTATAACCTTTAATTATCGTGTCAGCATTGCTACGCTATGAGTTAGATTGTAAAGTGTGTTATTAGTAGGAGGTAGAATAGATTCTGTGGTGATTCCTAGCTAAAACAAGATTCATACAGTGCATATAGTGTGGTGTAAATCAAGAATGTTATGAGGATATCAGTGACAGCTAGAAGTGAGAACTAATCCAAACAGCTGATAGTTATTTCATAAAATGTAATAGTAAATATTGGATCTTCTAAAGTCGCAGCAACATCCACGATCACCCACTGCAGTTGTCCGTTATTTTATGGGAAAATCCCCATTAAAAATCAAAATAAAAAAAAACGTTTAAAAAACGTTCAACATGTTAACCACCATGATATACTTAGTTAAATCAAAACCGGCTTTCTTTCTAAAATCCTATTTTTCTTTATTTTATGGAAGTTGTTATTGGAAAATAACATAATTTACAATAACTTTTGAACCAGCTCAACAGTATAAGTTTATGCGTAGCAGAGCAACGTTTGTCAAATCCCACGGATCATATCCCTGGACAATTCACTATCCGACTGTCAGCAGGTCCGATCAGTCAACATTTGCAACGTCCGCCTTCGTCACGCGCCAGGCACGGTGTTAGGAAACACATCTCAGTGACGAAAATTGATTAAACACGTTTTTTGAACTTAACTACAACTTTCAACTACACGGGAAATAGCATAGCATCCATACAAGGCCGTGGTTTGGCAACGTCGCACCGGCCGGCTTGTTGCCAAGGTAATAAGAGTGATAACAAACGTGTAAACAAAGACATTGCGCAGACGCTCTATTATGAATTAGTGCAACAGCTATTTTAGTAAGCCGGGACTGCAACGTTGCCACTTTTGACTTGCCACGGCCTTGTATCAGATGAGGCTATGGAAATAATAGTGTAGCCTATCTATCTATCTATATATTAATAGGCAAGCATGTTTCTTTAAAACCTTTTTTCTCAGCTCGTGTGTATCGTAGGGAAAATCTACGCATACCGTTAGAAAGCTATTTTCCTGTATGTGTGCAGAATCCCTTTATAAATTAAAATAGGCTGAAAAATAAGCACAAAAAATTAATTTGAAATTTAAAAAAAATAACATGGGTCTTATGGGTTGCTATGGTGATGACGAAATAACAACAAAATATAAACAGAAAATCAAAACAAATGGAAGACATCCCAATCACATGTTTTATTTACAGTGTGGGGTGAAAATAGAGAAGTTTGCACAAAACATACTTTTGGTCGATTTTTTTACCACGGGGCGTGCTCTCGTTTAAATAAATTATTATATTTCCCATGGCACAAGGATAACATAGAATCATTTCAATATTTCAGAAATTAACCCCGGTCCCGTTTAGTAGAGTGACAGGCTGGATGAGTATTGGGCATATCTTAAATATTTAGCTCAAATATTTTTTCTCAGATGAGTAAAATTTATAAGACTAATGTTTATTCTTTGTTCGTTAGCACAATATTATTTTCCTTCTTTATATTTTAACGAAACGTTTAGGATTAACTACAAATGACATTACAATTATATACACATTCTGTTTACCTTTATTTTTAATCTGCATTTTAAACATACCTGTATTTGGTTTAAAAACAAGTCTATATATTTATCTTGCTGTTCTAACCGAATCTGATATAGTTAGAGATTTAGTGAGTTGAGCTCGTAGAGTTTAAAATAACTTGTTTACTTCTCTAAAGGATAATACTTTTTTAAATTACATAAATGTATACACCCCAAACTTAATATTACAACACAAGTAAAGCTATACGAGTACAATAGGGTAATTTTTTACTCTTTAAAACTATTTTACACAAAAAACTAGACTTTTAGTTAAATTCAAGTATAGTAAACTGTAAAAGACGTTTCCATCATCTTAACCATAGAATTTCGGCTGTATACTTTAGTGAGTAGGTAAGGTTCAAATAGATCTATAGTTGAGTAAATATGCAGGTACTTATTAAGTTTAATAACTTAAATATTTTATGTTATATAAAACTATGATAGCCTTACTTCAATGGAATATTAAAGAAGTTGAAATAAAACGCAAGTGCCAATAATTAAATTAATTGTAAAGTGTTTTGTATTAAAGTACAAATACAGCACACAAAATTTCATACCATTATTGACGTGATGCTCACTTTTATCGAAACAGCAAAAGTCTATAAGAATACAACAATACAATGCAGGGGTACAAAACTAATTTTGGAAAACAAAATTTTAAGGATACTAAATTTTTTTAATGTTATAAAATATAGAAAATATACATTTATAAATGATGACTAGATTTTATTTTATTTAAATGTTGTATTAGTGGCATAGTACAATAAGTAACTCACGTGTGTATATAGCATGATGTTAGGCCGGAGGTCCGCACTAGAATGGGACTCTGTCGTACTTTCTACTTTATATATCACCTTCCCTGCGCCGTCCACCAATACCAACACTACCCGGCACGTATGTAAATATTTGTACAGTATCACTACTTTTACATTCCTAAATATATGTGGTTGGTTAGGTTTTAAGTTAAAAATATCATATAAAGAAAAAATAAAATTCAAGTAAGTGTCTATGTTTGTATCCCAAAAAATATAGACACTTAGTCTATATGTTTTGGGATGAAAACAAACTCAATTTCATTGATGAACAAATTTCAAAAAATCTGCAGTTAAATCCATTTGGAATTTCATCCATAAAACTTGAAAATAAAACCAGCAAACAGAAGAAATATGTTTGTATGCATTATTATTGTTTGATTCTATTATTAATGAAATGAAAACATATTTCAAAGTTATTTATTAATATGATATTTTTTGTGGGTGCAGAAAATAGATCTGTCGTATTATAAATTTGATTTAATATATTTTATACAATCATTGAAAAGTAGTAATCTTTCTTACTAACTGATAGTTTTACAAGTAATTTTACGTCTAAAATTATTTAAATTTATCGGATATTTTTGTGTTTTTTATTGAACAAGCATTAACTACTGAACCTTTAATGCTTGTTCAATTAAAACACAAAAACATCCGATAAATT